TCCTGTATAGGATATACAACTAATTTTTAGTTACCTGTTAACTTAAATTAAGTTCCTTGGTACTGAATGGATTAGGCATTGAAGGTAACTTTAAAAGAAAAAGTTTATCAGTGTGTCGTACCTAACTTGATCCCTTATCTGACTACAGTAGAACCTCGCTTAACGAGCACCTCTCATAACGAGTTATTCACATAACAAGCAAAACAAATTGTAAAAGAATGACTTGCTTAATGAGCGACGTTTCACATAACGAGTGGCGAGGAAAGGGGAAGTCCCGGATTGTGCACATGTTACATCAGTTTGTTTTTAGCACTTGTTCCAGTGGCATCGTAGTGTCGCTTGTGATCACACATTTTCTAAAACTTATGTTATATTGTGATAAATCTACATGAATCCTCCAGGCCTACAAAATGACCTTCCTGGCGAATTTACCTTCATCAAGATCCAGTTTCTGCCTCCCAACACCACTCCGTTACTCCAGCCCTTGGACCAGCAAGTTATTTCTAACTTTAAGAAGAAATGCTGAAAGCATAGGAAACAGTTGCATCTTACAATGAGAAGCATCACCCTAATAAGGAAGTGGCTATGCACGGTGCACATTTATTTAATGATAATGCTGTGTCGGATTTTTGCCAAATTTTGAAGTGTTGGCAAAAACAAATGTCTTTGGACATCTTTCTAGGAAAAAAATAATTAGCTATGAAGCAACTTTTTTTTTCTTTCTGCAAATCGAATTCGCATTCCAGGTGGGTTCGTTCCGCGGTGGAAGAAAAGATGAAGATGATTCACTGTCCGTAACGATATGTATATAATTTTTTTCATAAACTGTATACATACATATTTTTGAGTATTTTTTCAGCATGTAACGCATTATCGTATGTTACATTAATTTAAGTGAAAAAAAATTGTTTCACATAACAAGTGTTTCGCTTAACGAGTATGATTCTGGGATGAATTGTGCTCGTTAAATGAGGTTCCACTGTATATCCATCATTGGATCCATCATGATTACATAATAATATTGTTTCTCACCTGACCATATTCCTGAAAATCACTTAAGATATCAATTTGACAGTTTTTCCAATGGTAACTTGAGATGTCACTGAGTCTCACCTGTCTGTCACTAATGATAATGTTAGATATCAGTATGTGTCTCAACTATCTGTGCCACTAATGATAATGTTAGATATCAGTGCATGTCTCACCTATCTGCCACTAATGATAATGTTAGATATCAGTGCATGTCTCACCTATCTGCCACTAATGATAATGTTAGATATCAGTATGTGTCTCACCTATCTGCCACTAATGATAATGTTAGATATCAGTGCATGTCTTACCTATCTGCCACTAATGATAATGTTAGATATCAGTATGTGTCTCACCTATCTGCCACTAATGATAATGTTAGATATCAGTGCATGTCTCACCTATCTGCCACTAAATGATAATGTTATATAATGATAATGTTAGATATCAGTATGTGTCTCACCTATCAGCCACTAATGATAATGTTAGATATCAGTATGTGTCTCACCTATCTGCCACTAATGATAATGTTAGATATCAGTGCATGTCTCACCTATCTGCCACTAATGATAATGTTAGATATCAGTATGTGTCTCACCTATCAGCGACTAATGATAATGTTAGATATCAGTATGTGTCTCACCTATCTGCCACTAATGATAATGTTAGATATCAGTGCATGTCTCACCTATCTGCCACTAATGATAATGTTAGATATCAGTATGTGTCTCACCTATCAGCCACTAATGATAATGTTAGATATCAGTATGTGTCTCACCTATCTGCCACTAATGATAATGTTAGATATCAGTGCATGTCTCACCTATCTGCCACTAATGATAATGTTAGATATCAGTATGTGTCTCACCTATCTGCCACTAATGATAATGTTAGATATCAGTATGTGTCTCACCTATCAGCCACTAATGATAATGTTAGATATCAGTATGTGTCTCACCTATCTGCCACTAATGATAATGTTAGATATCAGTATGTGTCTCACCTATCTGCCACTAATGATAATGTTAGATATCAGTATGTGTCTCACCTATCTGCCACTAATGATAATGTTAGATATCAGTATGTGTCTCACCTATCTGCCACTAATGATAATGTTAGATATCAGTATGTGTCTCACCTATCTGCCACTAATGATAATGTTAGATATCAGTATGTGTCTCACCTATCTGTGTCACTAATGATAATGTTAGATATCAGTATGTGTCTCACCTATCTGTGTCACTAATGATAATGTTAGATATCAGTATGTGTCTCACCTATCAGCCACTAATGATAATGTTAGATATCAGTATGTGTCTCACCTATCTGCCACTAATGATAATGTTAGATATCAGTATGTGTCTCACCTATCTGCCACTAATGATAATGTTAGATATCAGTGCATGTCTCACCTATCTGCCACTAATGATAATGTTAGATATCAGTATGTGTCTCACCTATCTGTGTCACTAATGATAATGTTAGATATCAGTATGTGTCTCACCTATCTGTCACTAATGATAATGTTAGATATCAGTATGTGTCTCACCTATCTGTGTCACTAATGATATTGTTAGATATCAGTGCGTGTCTCACCTATCTGCCACTAATGATAATGTTAGATATCAGTATGTGTCTCACCTATCTGCCACTAATGATAATGTTAGATATCAGTATGTGTCTCACCTATCTGCCACTAATGATAATGTTAGATATCAGTATGTGTCTCACCTATCTGCCACTAATGATAATGTTAGATATCAGTATGTGTCTCACCTATCTGCCACTAATGATAATGTTAGATATCAGTATGTGTCTCACCTATCTGCCACTAATGATAATGTTAGATATCAGTATGTGTCTCACCTGTCTGTCACTAATGATAATGTTAGATATCAGTATGTGTCTCAACTATCTGTGCCACTAATGATAATGTTAGATATCAGTGCATGTCTCACCTATCTGCCACTAATGATAATGTTAGATATCAGTGCATGTCTCACCTATCTGCCACTAATGATAATGTTAGATATCAGTGCATGTCTCACCTATCTGCCACTAATGATAATGTTAGATATCAGTGCATGTCTCACCTATCTGCCACTAATGATAATGTTAGATATCAGTATGTGTCTCACCTATCTGCCACTAATGATAATGTTAGATATCAGTATGTGTCTCACCTATCAGCCACTAATGATAATGTTAGATATCAGTATGTGTCTCACCTATCTGCCACTAATGATAATGTTAGATATCAGTATGTGTCTCACCTATCTGCCACTAATGATAATGTTAGATATCAGTGCATGTCTCACCTATCTGCCACTAATGATAATGTTAGATATCAGTATGTGTCTCACCTATCTGCCACTAATGATAATGTTAGATATCAGTGCATGTCTCACCTATCTGCCACTAATGATAATGTTAGATATCAGTATGTGTCTCACCAATCTGCCACTAATGATAATGTTAGATATCAGTATGTGTCTCACCTATCTGCCACTAATGATAATGTTAGATATCAGTATGTGTCTCACCTATCTGCCACTAATGATAATGTTAGATATCAGTATGTGTCTCACCTATCTGTGTCACTAATGATAATGTTAGATATCAGTATGTGTCTCACCTATCTGTGTCACTAATGATAATGTTAGATATCAGTATGTGTCTCACCTATCTGTCACTAATGATAATGTTAGATATCAGTATGTGTCTCACCTATCTGTGTCACTAATGATATTGTTAGATATCAGTGCGTGTCTCACCTATCTGCCACTAATGATAATGTTAGATATCAGTATGTGTCTCACCTATCTGCCACTAATGATAATGTTAGATATCAGTATGTGTCTCACCTATCTGTGTCACCAATGATAATGTTAGATATCAGTATGTGTCTCACCTATCTGCCACTAATAGATAAGTAAGATATCCACTAATGATAATGTTAGATATCAGTATGTGTCTCACCTATCTGCCACTAATGATAATGTTAGATATCAGTATGTGTCTCACCTATCTGCCACTAATGATAATGTTAGATATCAGTATGTGTCTCACCTATCTGCCACTAATGATAATGTTAGATATCAGCATGTGTCTCACCTATCTGCCACTAATGATAATGTTAGATATCAGTATGTGTCTCACCTATCTGTGTCACTAATGATAATGTTAGATATCAGTATGTGTCTCACCTATCTGCCACTAATGATAATGTTAGATATCAGTGTGTGTCTCACCTATCTGCCACTAATGATAATGTTAGATATCAGTATGTGTCTCACCTATCTGCCACTAATGATAATGTTAGATATCAGTATGTGTCTCACCTATCTGCCACTAATGATAATGTTAGATATCAGTGCATGTCTCACCTATCTGCCACTAATGATAATGTTAGATATCAGTATGTGTCTCACCTATCTGCCACTAATGATAATGTTAGATATCAGCATGTGTCTCACCTATCTGCCACTAATGATAATGTTAGATATCAGTATGTGTCTCACCTATCTGTGTCACTAATGATAATGTTAGATATCAGTATGTGTCTCACCTATCTGCCACTAATGATAATGTTAGATATCAGTGTGTGTCTCACCTATCTGCCACTAATGATAATGTTAGATATCAGTGTGTGTCTCAGTGTCCCAATCTTCAGCAGCAAGCGAAGAGTTAAAACTCTGGTGGTACCAGTAACTGTCTGATTGTAACTTTTTCTTCTTCTTTCTCTCGCTTGAAATGGATTATCTATATCTGCAATGTTGTCTCTAATATAAACTTAACTGTCTTTTGTAATTCACTCAGCGACCCGTAAAGTTTGTCTTGCACCGTTGTTTCTCTTGATTGTAACTGATAACTTAAGATATCAGTGTGTCTCACCTGCCTATATCCCTCATGATAACTTAAGATATCAGTGTCTCAGCTCCCTATGTCCTTTATTTTCCAGCCTTGCCAGAATGCGTCAAGGATTCCGGCCTCTACTGGTGCCACCCTACTCCCAAAGCCATGCTTTAGTGAGCGACTCACGACGACCTTTCCTGTGCCTGGTAGTGACCCTGGTGGTGATTCTGCTGGTGATCACAATATTTGGCATGTCTGCCTGGAATGCCTATGAGCACAGGTTTGGAAAGAACACATTCGTGTTCTACAGCGGTGATGAGGTGGCTCTCAGCCAGACTGCCAGTGACTTCTCTGCCACATTTTGTGACAGTTATAAAGTAAGTAAAAAAAGAAACTGTCTCTACTGTAGGTACTTACCACTTCTTGGGAGCTGCTGATTGGCTAGATGCTCGACCATGGATTCGAAGGTCATGAGTACAAATCTTAATGAAGACAAACTTTCAAATTAAAAAAAAAAAATTCTTTGGCTTTGCTCCCAGTCTTAAATAGGTACCAGGTAAAGTCCTGAGAAGTAAAGGTGGCTGGCATGATATTGACCACTTCATCCACCGAGAACTGATTAGTCTGTAAAATATAGCTAGCCCAATACGCTTGAAGACTTTGAAAAGGTATCCTTTATTTATTCCTTTTGAGGGTGGTGTAGAACCATATGGGGGTAGGGATCTTGAACCTGAGGATTTAGGGCCATGTGTCTTGTCAACATAAAAACACATAGCTAGTGAGCTAGGGTAGTCATCACGAACTGTGGAAGTTGTGCTTTCAATTGTTGCCCCTGACAGAAACAGTTTCCACAATCTGTCTCAGGATTCAAACCACTTTTCCAACCACTTGATTAGCAGCTTATCATTAATAAGTAGTTAATAAAATTACAGTTGTTCTTATTTGCTAGGTTGTTCTGTTGCTTCATGGGGGACAGTGGCTTCTTTGCTGCATTTTGTGACACTTTTAGAGTAAGCACATGATATGATTACTATTGCAATTATAAATTTGGTAACCAAGACATTAAGCAGGTGTTTTGATACATATTTTCTAAATTTTGTGTTTGTTAAAAAGAAGTACTTTGTATAGTTACTTTTGTTTCCCGTGTGGGTTCCGGGGACCTATTGTAGGGAAAACAAGAATAGACCCACAGCCTCCCCAACAAGCATGACATAAGAGTTGACTAATTGGGGCTTCCTTCATAGTCAGAGTGCATCTCTCTGAGAGGCAAGGAACCATTTAGACTATTGAGACATTGAGTTTGGTGTACACTATCTCCTTTGCCACATTTTGTGTCAATTATTATTATAGAAATTACTAGAAGTCCAAGCTGACGTGAAAAAATCCTAGTCCTCACCGGGGATTGAAACCGGAACCTCTAGCACTCGGGGCGGACACCATGCCTCGAGACCACGCAGCCCTCTAACAAGCATGCTGTAAAAAGTGACTTCTCTGCCTGCATTGACCCCTAACCGTTTTGCCTCCAACCCTTTTGCCCCATTTGCCATGAAAGATGTCCTGTAGAGACACTTTTACACATTTCACATTAAAAAATTGGTGTAAAAATGTATTTATATTTGCTTTAAAAGCAATTTTACACAGCTCACTAAAAAGTAATTAGTAAATATGAGTAGAGTGAAGCGTTAAAGGTAATTCGTTCCCTTTGACATATAAATACTGTTTTTAGTGATTCATGCCATGATCCTGTCACCTCTATCACCCTTTTCCATCCCTTTAGGCATATAGGGCTCGACCTATATTTTATAGACCATTTGGCACTCGGTGGGTGATGTCAGCATCATGCCAACCACCTTTACTTCCTATTGTTTTAGCTGGTACCAATTTAAGGCTGGTCCGACCTGGGAGCCAAGGTAAATTTTGGGGAGAAAAAAGTATGTCTTTATCAGGACCTCAACCCACAGCCTTCGGGTCCACAGAGTGGCTACCTCAATCACTGAGGCTTACAGAACAATTTGACATGAACTTGGCTTTAAACAAAACTATATGTAGCTATAAAAAAAAAAACTATGTGTTTTGAAGAACAACTCCGAAAGTGCTATTTTTAGTTTATATTAACATCCTGACCTAAAAAAAAAAAATATTTGCTAACGCAGTCAACAACAGCACTAAATATGTGTTCTGTAAACTATGTATGACTGTGGACAAGTTGGAAAAAGTGACATTTACAGTGAATTGACCCCAACCGGACACATTGGTTTTGAGCCTTCTTGGAGTGGCAGGGTTAAAAGGGTGGTTGGCTTGTTGTATTGTGGTTTACAGTGAGACTGTGATATCTGCAGCATTCAGTACAACACTGATTTTAGCAAAACCCTAATTGTCTTTATTTTATGGTATGCTTGTTCTGGGAGGGTGAGTTCCCCCCCCCCCCCCCCCCCCCTACAATGGGCCTCGGAGCCCACACGGGGTGGAAAAGCCATCTAATTAGGAAGTTTTTTAAATTTGATGTTTTGTCCAAATGGAATACATATCACAGATTAGCTGTAAACCACAACTCAGCATGCCTTGCGCCTTTTTAGGAATGAATGCAGAAAAGGAAAAAAAATTGTGTAGTGGATACATCTGGGCTTTTTCATAAAGCAATCAACACTTTATAGGTGCTGTAGTCAGAACCATGTAAACTGCCTATATTTCCCAGGACATTTTCCATGTATCCTGTTGTAGCTTTGGTTGACCTAGGAGACATGGTCAATAAAAAAATAAAAATCAGCTTCGCCTCAGGTTGTCTTGGAAGTGTCTAACCAGTGCTCTGCTGCAGCTCCTCAGTGGAGCATAGGCCGCCAACCAGCATGCACCAAGTCGGACAATCATATGCCACCTCATGCAACTCACTTCATGCTCTTTTCTTGCAATGAGATGGAGGTGGGGGGCTGCATGGTCTCGAGGCATGGTGTCCGCCTTGAGTGCTAGAGTTTCCGAGGTTAATCCCCTGTAAGGGCTGGGATTTTTTCACGCAGACTTGGACTTCTAGTATTTTCCCTGATTTCTGGGTAGTGAGATCGGACGCCCGTGTGCATTGTTGCGCACGTAAAAAATCCCTTGTCAATTGGAAATCGAAAAAAAAGTAGCCTAAAAAAAGTAGCACTGCCCGGGCAAAATTTGGAGTTAAAAATCTACCCAAAGTATTTCAGCATTCTCGCCGGTGCTACAGAGCCTATGCACTGTGCTGAGCTTCTTCAGACAGCCTTGAGTTAGAAGAAAGAACGGAGAACATATGGGTTACTACCCATGTGCCATGATGTTGATCCGTTGTTCAAACCTGAAACTTCTTACAATGAGATTATGTGAATTACATTTTATCTGCTGTCTCAAACAGGTTTCTTTACAGGGAGCAGGCCAGGTTTTCCTCCTACCCAGTGCTGCTACAGTGAATGCAACTGCTGTTGAACATGTTCCTGTGAATATCCACCAGCTTCCCTACAGAGAGTTTAATGTTGTGCACAAGTTCCTGCTGCAGCAGTCGACAGTCAATGTGACTGCATGTAGAAGAGGAGGCTCTGTGTATTCAAGGGCTGAAATTATGCTCATTCAGGGTGAGTGCGAGGGGAAGTGTGTGAATAAGTGTAGGTGGGAGAGGAAGGGATGAAGAGGCAAAGGAAAAGAGAAACAGTGAAAGGAAAAGCTTACCACTGAATGGCTATAATCGCTGGCAGGAAGCTCTGGCTGTTCATGCATTTCTAGACTTTGGTCTTGTTGCAGAACTTATGTTTTGTGTGCACATTGGGTTTATACATCTGTCTTTTATGTGTGTAGACTTGTGTCCCTCACCTCTCAGACAGATGCAATCCAGCTGCAAAGAAAACACCCTGATTAGTCAACTTTTAATGCATGCTTGTTTCAATGGTGAGGTCAGTGGGTCTCTTCATATTTTCCCCACAAAATGGGACCTAGAACCCACTTGGTGGGTGCTGTGTGTGTGTGTTGCTCATATTTTTCTAGCCCATTCAACATTGAATAAATGATATTAGTGCCTTTATTTTCCAAAACATTTCCTGATATCAGTTTTAGACTAGGTTGACATGGAAACCCTGGTCTGGAGAAAACGAAATTCCCGTCTTCAGTAAATTTTAATACAGGTACCTGTTCTTCAAACTAAATCCCTTTGACTTCCATATATTGTTAAGCATGGCAAATGCTTGATTTGCTTTTTTTGTTCTTGATGTTACATCTTTTTCAAAATCTCCATCTGGAGTAACTTTACTTCCGAAGTATATAAATTCTGTAACTTCCTCTATTGCTTCATTATTTAACTCCGTGAGTCCCAGGGGGTTTAGCATCACAGGCCTAATGGGTAGTAAATAGAGACTAAAATCAACACATCATGCCTTCAGTGGGCTTCTAGGTAAGAACCTATGAACGTATGATGCGTTCCCTGGGACTCAAAGTTAAGATGATTGGATTTTCTGTTTTGTAATTATTTCTCATTACTTTAGTTTTACTAGTGTTATTTTGAGTCTTTTCTTAAGGGCTGTTGTTGAAAGTTTTTACATTTTTTGCTGAGTGTCCACATGAGGGCTGGATATAAGGCAGATGTCGTCTGCATAGTCCACATCCTTTCAACCAGATGTCAGTGACCACCTGATGCCTCTTTTTCTATCTCGTGTAGCTTCCTTTATCAGCCAGTCAGTGGCCACTTGAACAAAAATAGGGATAGTATGCATCCCTGTCTGAATCCTGTGTTGATAAAGAAACTTTCTGCTGTATAATTATCACAAACTATCTTGCATTGAAACTCTATGTAAATAGCTTTGATCAAATTTACTATTTTCTGTGGTACACCAAGTGACGCAAAAACTTCCATAGTGATTCCCTATGCAGGCTATCAAAGACTTTTTCAAAATCCACAAAGGTCATATAAACTGCACTATTCCATTTGTTACTTTGTTACATTAGTATCAGTAACTAGTAAAATCTTTAGCCAGATAATTCTTAAAAGAATGACTCAAGCACTTGATAGTATAATAAAGAAAGAGCAAGCAGTATTCAGAAAGGGGAAATCATGTATTGATCACATCTTAACACTGCGTCAAATAATTAGATACCTCTCCAGTTGTTACAGTTTCCTTAATCTCCTTTTTTTGGTAATTTAGTAATAATACCCTTTTTCCACTCCTATGGGATTTCTTCTTTGTTTCGGATTTCTTGAAAAATCTTTCACAGTAGTTTTGGCATTTCAATTACCTCCACTTTCAGCATTTCTGGGCAGATTCCATCACACCCAGGGGCTCTGTTAACCTTTTGAGCTTTAATCGCCTCCCTAACCTCTGCCTCTGAAAAAGGCTCTAGGCTTATCTGTAGGTCTTCCTAAGCCTCATGTTATCAGCAAGCACAGGTGGGTCTGGACAGTTTAGTAATTACTGGAAGTGTTCTTTCCACCTTTCTAATTTTTATTTCTCGGCTGTAATCATTTTCCCACTCTTTGTTTTTAAAGGCAAATTTTGGTGCGATACCACATTTCCTTTCGGCTTCTTAGTTATGTTGTACAATATTTTGATGTACTGCTTATTTGCTACTTTTGTTACTAGTTTTCCAATATATGAAAGTTTATCTGCTTTCGCTTCTGCTTTAACCTCATTGTTCCCTAGAGCATATTCTTTAGAAATTTTTTTTTAAATCTGGCTGATTTTGCATCTAACATTTGTCTTTTATTATCTTTCTGCTGTGCTATTTTCTCCCACGTTGATTGGGAAATCCACTCCTCTTTCTTTAGCCGCCTATATCCTATTATTTTCTGCCCTGCTAATTTGACTGCTTCATTATATTTGTCGAATACCATTTCTGTTTCTTCTTGTAAAATGCTGAATCTGTATTTGAGTTCTATCTTGAATTGCTGTTTGATATGTGTGTCCTGCAATTTTCCTACATCATATCGGTGCGGGTTTTGATCTCCTATTTTAGCTTTCCTTAGTTTTAACCTGATTTTTCCTATAAGTAAATTATGGTCACTCCCTATATCCACTGATCTACGTATTCTGACGTCTTGCAAGGAATGCCTCTGTTTTCCATTTATAAGATTATTCTCAATTTGGTTTTCCATGTGTCTATCTGGAGATTTCCATGTGACCTTATGAATTGTTTTATGAGGGAAGATTGTTCCTCCAATTATTAGGTCATTAGATTGGCTGAAGTCACATAATCTCTCCGTTGTTGGTCATTTTCCCTGTTCCATGTTTTCCCATTGTTCTCTTCCTCCCTGCCTTGTCCTTTCCTACCGGAGCACCATTAATATTACATCCTGCTTTGGGATGTCTTCTACTACTGTTTGTAGACTGTCGTAAAAGCTGTCTTTTGTCTCCTCTTCTGCACCCTCTGTTGGTTCGTAATAGACCAAGACAGATAATTTTGCAATTGTAGAATTAAACCTGGCATACAAAAGTCGTTCACTTCCAGGCTTCCATTCTATAAGATTGTTTGTTGTTGAGCCCCTTTTTAATTATTAATGCGACTCATTCAGTCTGTTGTTTATCAGCTCTACCTGGCCAGATTATGTTGTTTATCAGCTCTACCTGGCCAGATTATGTTGTTTATCAGCTCTACCTGGCCAGATTATGTTGTTGTCTGTATTGAGGTTTCTTTTTCCTGTCCCTGTCCAACATGCTTCTGTAATTCCTAAAATATATATATTGGGTAGGTGTATCTCATGAAGAACTTGTTCAACTTTTCCAGTTTGAAACAATGTTCTCACATCCAACACTTAGGGTGTTTTGGGTAGAAAGAAAATTCACTGTCGGGCTGTTAGCCTTCCTTTCAGCTTTGATCCCCAGCCGTCATTTCATCAAATATCTGGCAAGCTTCTCTTCTTTCAACTGGTTCAATGATTTCACTTATTCTTTTTTCTGTAACAAAGTGTTTTTTACGGTAATGGATTGTCAATCCTTTGCCCAACCCCCAACCTGAAGGACCAGGGTGCTAGTTTGGTCTGACTTTTCTTCTCAAGATCTGTTTGGCATGGTTAAACCTGCCAGGGGAACAAGTCCCCTGCCGGCATAGCTCAGAGAGTCATTAGGGTACTCAAGCCACCCTCCACGACAAGGCACCAGCACCATGGGATGGGAAAAAACAAAGCAAAGCAGCTCACTAAACAGCTTTAGGATGACAACTAAATAGCTTTAAGGTAACAATGAAGCAGCCAACTAAACAGCTTTAGGGTAACAGTGAAGCAGCCAACTAAACAGCTTTAGGGTAACAGTGAAGCAGCCAACTAAACAGCTTTAGGGTAACAGTGAAGCAGCCAACTAAACAGCTTTAGGGTAACAGTGAAGCAGCCAACTAAACAGCTTTAGGGTAACAGTGAAGCAGCCAACTAAACAGCTTTAGGGTAACAGTGAAGCAGCCCGCTAAACAGCTTTAGGGTAACAGTGAAGCAGCCCACTAAACAGCTTTAGGGTAACAGCGAAGCAGCCCACTAAACAGCTTTAGGAAGACAACAGCAAGAGTAAACAGCTCAGCAGCTTTAGGGTAAAAGCTAAAATTAAAGTTAAGAGGATTGACTGACTGAACTGACTTTCTACCCCACCAAGACATCACACAAACGACAAACACCCGACGACACAAAGTGCCACCATGTGGATGAGGACCGCCGTGGAGAGGTCCCAGAAACCGCGTTCAGACATTTGGCCATATATATGGCCTGCCTATATTGCGGCCCCTGGCAAAAGCCAGAGTAGGGCTTCAAATGACAAAAAAATTCGTCCTAAGAAGAACGAAGTTAGAATTGTATATTATCGCTTCTCGGCCTTTTGGCTAAGATCAAAGTGAGGATTGACTTCATTGCACCGGGTTTTATCTGATATGGCTCAGTTTCTCTTCACTGAACAGCTAGCCACCTGCCATAGCTAGCCACCTGCCAAGAGTGTTGCCCAAAGCACCTCCTAGCTGCGAGGATGATACTGAAAGATCTCCATTAAAAATGCACTCGCAAACTGAACTACGCAGCTGCAAAATTAACCTACGACTTTCAGAACGCGAGGCAAACCACTTAATCACTTTGTCACACAGACTCCTATAAGGCAAAGTTGGCAACTTTAGGATAACAGCAAGAGTAGACAACCGAAATCATATTTACTTCAGCAGTAACAATACACACAAAGTAATTTGAAAAAAAAAAGAAAAAGAAAAATTTGTAGTGTATCCACTGCAAAACCAACCCAAGCATGTTTTTGGCTCTTGTGATTTCTCAAAGCAATTAGAATATTTAAAAAACAAAAATGAAGCCACACTTTTTTATATTACCGTAACTGCTTGTTAACTTTTACGTTGTTGGACTTCCAGGTGACAAGAACTTCTACAGATGGAGACGAAACATTTATTGCAGTGACTGTGTCCTCAGACGTGTGCATATTCGTGATGATGCCGTCTGTGATCATGCAAGACAACTTCCCAGGCTGTACCATAAAATCACACGTGATGACCGATATTTCTTGTTTGTATTTAATGGTCGTCCAGATTCAAGACCACGCCTGCTTTCCTTGGGCATCTTGTTAAGTGGCATGATTTCAAGAACTCATTTTGATTTGTCTGATGCAGAAAAAACTTGCTATATTGTCAACTCCTCCAGCTGCATTTTCACACTTCCTTGGGGGTCAACCAAAGATGTGGTTGTAAAATTTGGTGGTCCAGACTCCGACAGCTTCCGCGACACCCTCAGCACAAGTTGCCAAGCACGGGTGGTCTTTTGGGTGTGCCTGTTTGGTATTTTGCCATTGGTGTGCATTTTTGTAACGCTGACTTCGGTATATTGCTTCTTGCGTAGAAAGAGAATCATTATCACGAGGTTCAGTAGAGGATGTAATGATGAGATGGCTAATGAAAGAACACGACTCTTGCAGAGACAGAATCAGCAGTCGCCAAATTATGTGCCACAGAATGATAACGGTGGAACAGTGGCAATTCAACAAGGGTGAAATATTGTAAAGTAAATGAAAGATATTCAGCACTGAGGGTAAAACATAGACTGGCTTTTAATCAGTTGCAACTGGTACTAATAGCATATCTTCTGTTCATTGGCTCCTAAAGAAGACTGACCACGTGTGGAAATGTCTCGAGTAAAGTAAATGAATGTTTTCTTCATCGGTGACCAACTGTGGTGGTAGATATCATGGCAGTGGAACAAGACAATTCATTTATGGTGATACATGTTAGATTAAATTACTTAGTTTTTTTCATCCGTGACTGACTCTGGCAGAAGGTATTAAGACAATGAAATAATGGCAATTTAGTTGGGGTGATACTCATTTGATTAAGTTACTATTTTTCATCAGTGACTGACTCTGGCAGAATATATGAAAGCGGTTAAATGATGGCAGTTCAGTAGGGATGATACATGTTAGATTAAATTACTTTTTTTTTTGGTTTTTTTTAATCAGTGACTGACTTTGGTAGAAGATAATATAGCCAGGGAAATGTTGGCAATTCACTTGGGTTGATACATGTCAGAAATTAAGAGCAGAATATGCCAGGCTAAGGCTGCATTTCACAGAATGAAGAACATCTTGTGCAACAGGTCCCTCTCTTTGGTTGTCCGAAAGAGAGTACTGAAATGTTATGTAGAACCTATATTGCTGTGTGAATCATGGAATCTGAATGCATAAATTTGAAAGACCTTGAAGGTGACGGAGATGTAATTTTTCAGACATATGTTAAGAATCCCTTGGACTGCCGGAGTAGCTAATGAGGATTGCTAGAAGGAAGTTAATGAAAGCAGATCAACATATACAGCTGTAAGGAAAAGAAAAGCATTGTTCTTTGGGCATATGATGAGGGGGAGAGGCTATGGAGAATGTTGTAATGACTTGGGAAGATAACCGGTAGAAATGGGAGAGGCAGACCAAGAGAGATGATGATGGATGGACTGTGATGGTAGCATGGACAATGGAGGGATATCATTGGTGGAACTGATCCAGAGAACAAGGGGCGAGATCTGTGGAGATGCATGAACACCTACGCCAGTCGGCAGGGCACGTGATGATGATGATACATGGTTGATGAAATTACTGTTTTTTTTAATCAGTGACTGACTTTGGCAGAAGATATAAAGGCATTTTAAACAATGGCAGTCAGGTTGGGTAAAATATTTCATAGAATGTCAATAATCTCTTCATCAGTGGTTGACTGTGGCATCAAATTTGAGGACAGCGGATTGATGGCAGTTCTGTTGGGGTGATATGCTACTGCTATCAGTAGTAAGTGGACAGTATGTTGTTCACCTCATACCGAGAAGCAGACAGAGAATCACCAAACAGGCACTGCAATGAGAAACAGACTGAACAAATGGGGACATACAAGAGAAATACTTAAGTGAACAGGAGTGCTGGACTGGTTTGGATTCATGTCATGGAAAGGATTGTACAGAATAGAATGGAATGGATGCCAGTCCTGTCCTATGGGTGTGAGTCATGAGCATTGACAACTGCTCACAGAATCCAGCTTCAGGCCTTAGAAATGAGATATCTGAGAGAGGTGGTCCAGGTGACAAGAAGGGGCAAAGTTCACGATCAGACAATATGTCAGGATCCTGAAACCCAGGCCTTACAAACTCGAGTGGATCAGTCACCGTTACGATGGTTTGGACATGCATGCAAAATGGGAGAAAATCAGCCACCATGACAGCCAAGGGAGCCTAAGAACCAGACCTCCAGGGCGACCGAGGGTCCACTGGGAAGACAAGAGCTGACATTCCCTTACTGATAGAGGACTAGAATTGAACAAAGCCAAAAGGAAAACTGCTACAAGTCTGGTGATCTCTCTGGCAAACCTCTACACCCCAAGGTAGAAGAGGAGCGACTGAGTAATTATAATAGAATGGAAGACTCAACTGCGAGCCCTATAAGACATAAAACATCATGACAAGATGATGATGATGATAATACACTTTCAGGTGAATGACTATTCCCTTCTTCATTCACTGACATTAGCAACATATATGAACATAATGCAACTGGCATTTCAATTAGAAGAAAAGACTTGTACCTGACTGTGTTTGCAACTGGCATTTCAGTTAGAATGAAAAACTTGTACACAACTGTGTTTTCTTAATCAGTAGTTTATTTTTGGTAGCAGAAAAACTTAAGTGCCTTAGCAATAGCACATTTGCCCTGTGTGTGGCTGAACTGGAAATCTGAATATTCCATTGTTGTACTGATGTAGACTTGTTTTGTGTGTGTGGCTACTCAGTCTGCACCAGTGGTACATTGAAAAGTGCTACAATGATCAAGGCAGAACAAATAGATTTATGTTTCTTGATTGTTCGCAGGTGGCTTGGCTACAATTCTAATAACACTTGTCTTAAAAATTTTGCATGGCTGCAATTCAAAAACAGTTTGTATGAGTTTGTTTTTGGGATCAACATTGATTGCGGCTTTTGCAAGATGTATTTTAATAGCGAATGCATGTTTTTACTTATCTGAATGACATTTTCAAACCCACAGTATGTTTCTCACTTTTTTTTCTACAAGTTTCTATATTAAGTCTTTATGCCTGTGCTGTTTTTTTGCCTTCATTTGCCAAATATTTACATTGTTGACTCAAAAAGTATGTCTTTCATTGTCTCTGTGATGGAGATAATATTTGTTTCCTGAAAGTTGACAGCTGCAGATTACCTTCTGATTATTGCCTCAAAATGTATGCTATCTGTATAGAATATGAAAAACTAAACTAAAAGGTATCACCACATACATGGCTAGAATTAGACATACATTTTAAGGTATTTCTACATGTAAGGCTAGAATTAGACAGACTAAACTTAAAGGTATTTCTACACACATGGCTAGAATTAGACAGAAACTTTAAGGTATCTCTACACATATGGCTAGAGTTAGACATACTAAACTTTAAGGTATTTCTACATGTAAGGCTAGAATTAGACTGACTAAACTTGAAGGTATTTCTACACACATGGCTAGAATTAGACAGAAACTTTAAGGTATCTCTACACAAATGGCTAGAGTTAGACTAAACTTTAAGGTATTTCTACATGTAAGGCTAGAATTAGACAGACTAAACTTTAAGGTATTTCTACATATATGGCTAATTAGAAAGAAACTAGAATAGAATATAAATTAGAAAGATTAAACCAATTTATGTTTTCATTTCTTGCTAGAATCAGAAAGACTTAACTGTAAGGTTTGCACACGGGTAGAATTAGAAAGATATAACTAAGGTATTTCTACTCCCAGGGATAGAAATGTAGAAAAAGAATGGGGGTGTATTGAGTCTGAGGATTTAAAATCTCATGGCTAGTGCAGCCACCACACACTTCCCAGGTTATATTCTTATTTTTGTCCTCCAACACAAAATAACTTCTATCACTTAACCAAGGAATTGAACCACAGACTCCTGCATGAGAAATCAGCTTTCTAACCACTTGGTCAGCTGCTCCTAACTCATGGGTAGAGTATGTACAAAATTAAACTATGAGGTATCATGGATACAATTTTATAAAAAAAAATACTTAACTGTAAGTTATTTCTATACTCGTGCATTTTGTGGGAAAGATTAAACTAAAAGGTATTTCTACAAGAACTGGAGCATTCAGAAAGACTAAACTAAAAAAAAAAAAAAAAGGTCTAAAGTAAGGTATTTCTAGATGAATGGGTACAATAGGAAAGACTAAACAAAACTGATCTATCTATCACCGGGTGAACAGAAAAAAGCCTTAAAATGACATGTGTATATGATGTTTATACACGTAACTGATTTTACACTATGACTCATTCTCAGTATTCAAATGCTATACAACTGTTTCATATTAGACTTTGTTCTGTATGATATTTCTTATCTGACTGTTTTATAAATATATATAAAAGCATGTTAAATGTTATCTATGTTTAATATGAATAAAGTTTTAAGGAAAAATGAATGTGGAATTTGTTCACTATCATCATCATCATCATCATCACTGATCATCTTTGAGGTTTGAACAACTGATCAACATCATGGCACACGTGTAGTAACCCAAAAGTTCTCCTTTCTTCTTCTAAGTTAAGTCTGAGTCCAAAGAAGCTCAGCACAGTGCACAGGCTCTGTAGCACCGGCAAGGATCCTGAAATACTTTAGGTAGATTTTTAACTCTAAATTTTTGCTCGGACAGCGCCGTTAGATTACTCTTTTCAATTCCCAACTGCCAAGGGATTCTTTACGCGTGCAACAATGCACACTATCATCCCATCTCACTACTCAGACCAGGGAGAATTACTAGAAGTCCAAGTCCACGTGAAAAAACCCCAACCCTTACCGGGGATTAAATCCAGAACGTCTAGCACCCAAGGCGGACACCATACCTCGAGACCACGCACCCTCACTGATCTTCTGTGATCATTTATTGTTCTGGTACTGAAACTGAGGTATTTTGGTCACATGTTAAGATCACAGTGGCCTGGAGACAACGGGGATGAAGGGTACATTTCTGGAAAATGAGGCAAAAGCCGATCTTTGCAAAACAATACAAGACATTGAAGATGCATTGACTATGAAAGCACATAGGGCTGGAGAATTGCCTAGAGAAAGAGAGACTTTCAGGAATGCAGTGAAGAGAGTGGCGTTTTGTAAAGAACCTGCTAAATGATGATGAGAGAAGCTGGTATTTCCTAAAGGGCTTGCCAACAATATTGTGAAAACCTCAGTCAGTCAAGTGCCATCTTGAAGGCTGGCTGCAAGGTATCTTCTAAACGCTCACTCTGTCTTTTGCTCTGATTGTACACTGTCTCAGATTGCTGACCATCTCTTGATGATGTTGTCCTCCCAGTTGTATCGCTGTCTGCCTCTGGCTAATTTACCATCAACTTTTCCTCTCATTTGGTTTTTATGAGTGTTATATTTTTTTAAAGTTTGCCAAAGTATATCACTCGTCTTTATTTGTTTTTCCACAGTGAATCTTTTTATTCCTAGTCTTTTCTTAACTTCTGTA